GCTGCCCCCCCCCTTCACCGTGCGACCAGAAACAATGGGGTCGATGCAATCACGCCGAGCACATCTGGTATTACTGAAATGAAAATTTTATGATTACCAGTGAACTGGAAAACTACCGTGATAGCTACCCCGGAACATCGAAGTTGTGTTGTCGATGGCACCTAATGTTTATGCATTTTCCAACCTACCGACGTACTGTTTATGAAGAAGCTAATAACTTAAAATATCATTAGCTGCTAGCCTTTTCAATTTTTTCGTTGTTGTTGTCGTCCTCATCTACGCTATCAGGGTCAAAAATAGAGTACCCGGATTAATGATTTCTGAGGATTTTTTTTTCGTACTCAGGTACAGTTCGTTGTTGTGCTTACAGTCTGAACTTCGCCTGTTTGGAATGATTTTTAACCTGTGGAATCGATAAAAATCCGTCATGAGAGAAACTGGACATGACGAACTCTCCCCCTAAAGAACTTTCGTTTTTCAGGTTCTTAGCAACGAGTAAAAGTCATCAACCGAAGGGCTAGCACATATGATGCACATTTCTTGTTTGTGAAATGTTTCGTTATTACTTGCTGCGTCTGAAGTAAAAACACAGGATTAATTCAGCAGCATACTGTTATTATTTACGTCATATTCGAAAATAAAATATTTTGTTAAACAAATGCCGCTGCGTTTGAAACGCAGCACCAGTTACATACGACTTAAATGATCAAATTTTTTTAACAGCTTAACCATTAAGAGAAAAACTGATACACGAGTCGAAACGTCACTATCTGTCAATCACCCGAGTGACCACATTTACCAGTTGCGCTCTATGGCACCTTTATCACGTCACGTTATACGCCATATCAAGGTTATTATTAAGAGGATAAGAAAGAAAAAATCATACATTTTACTCGACCATCATCGTCACGGTGAGTAAACTTGCACAGGACAGTACAAAGGACTACTGAGTGAAATCGAGTAATCCGAAATTGCTGCCTACACACCTAAAGGTATATCGTGACAGAAGAGCACGCTTCGGCGGAAACCGCTGGTTCAAGCCCATCTGCTAAACCGTTTTACGGCCAACATCAATCACCCGGATATCTGAGCAGCATATGGTACTCCAATCACCTGCGTGTCGATGAAGCTTAAGGACGATTCGTGTTCGCCATTTAAGCGTTGTATGCTAAGTGGCCAGCATTGTCCGGCGCAACTCGATGCTTCGATGACCGACGCCATGACTGATGGGTAGATAATACAGCCGCTACGATGCTTCACGTACGTCGCTATCGCATTATTAATCGCGTTAAAATCGATACACCCTCAATGAATACTCTAATCGCAGGCGCACCGAGCCAAACGACCCGAACAAAACCATCATTCGTTCGGTGTTCAAGAACCGCCTCGGGCAATGATGCTTAATTAATGTCAAATGGGACCTGACGCTCTGACATGGTCAAGCAAGAACGGAGCTGACGAGAGCTTCGCATGTGCGTTTCAAGGCACGGCGACACGGTGATCACATGATCAATCAAAAAACGCTTCAGATACATTTTAAAGGGGAACGTCTACACAACGAGATGAATGGATCAAGAGTTTGAGAATTCGTTGTATGTAGGTTCTTTATAAACTGCTGCGGATCTAATTAACTATTTATTTTTATTACTCTCCGTCGATTTACACTCAGTCGATAGTACGAAGTGACCACGCTGTAACTCTCGTCTGACGCTGACAAAAAATCAACAGCAAAGTTGCCCAGGATGACGATATCTTAACCAGTTTGAAACGGTGTCGGTTTTCCTAATTTAGTTAAAGTTGAAAGTAAAAAAATCACACATGAAGGCTGGCGAAGAAAGGATCATAGTTGTCATCTTTGTACAAAATACCTGCCCTTACATGAAGTCTTTCAATTTTCTTCAAAGTTAGGACGATTGAATAAGATCGCTTCTAGTCGAGCTTTCAGTAATTATGGTTTGTTCTCATTAGTTGTCATCCTCATCTGCGATACGGTAAACTTAATAGCCTTGCTCGCGGTAGGCTGTTGTCGGATATGCACTAAGTGATTACCTGGAATACTTCAAAATAAACTACTAATCACAAGAGACATGCTAATCACCAGAATATCTTTCTGTTAAATACTCATAATACTTTAGCAGTGAAAAATGTCATGCAAACCAAATTGCCATGGGATTTACAACCTGGAGTAACTAGAATATATAAAGATTTAAAAACCTAACATAAAAGCTAATCAGTATTTCAAATAATTTAAACGCAATCAAGGAAAGCATGATCACTCTTGGACAAGATTAA